TCTCTCTCTCTCTCTCTCTCTCTCTCTCTCTCTCTCTCTCTCTCTCTCTCTCTCTCTCTCTCTCTCTCTCTCTCTCTCTCTCTCTCTCTCTCTCTCTCTCTCTCTCTCTCTCTCTCTCTCTCTCTCTCTCTCTCTCTCTCCCCCTCTCTCACCTCCTTCTCCTCTTCCTCTCCTCTCCTCTCTTTCCCCTCTCTCTCACCCTCTCTCCTACCCAGCCCAGAGACACTCTGTGATCCCCTCCCCTTCATAAACCCCCCCACATGGAATCAGTCACGTGGCATGATTTGTGAACCCACCATGTAACTTAATGCACACTCCTAACAAGTGCTAGGTGTGACTAGCTAGTAGGTGACACATGATGACATCATAGGTTGCTAGGCAACCAAGAAGCAGGCTGCCTAAATACTAACAGTCACATCTTAAGCTTTAAGTGCACCTAGAATTGGAATGATCGTTGCCTGGAAATCTGGAATGGGAATGATTGTTGCCTGGAAACTTTTCCTCAGATGGTACTGTCTATTAAATATAATGACAATGAACTGCCTTGGCATTAAACTCCCCAAAGGTCTGATCCAGGTTGACAAAGTCAATCTGACATTTTTATTCTCATTTCTTTGAAGGTGTCCTCAGGTATGCCCCACCCCCACCCCTTAGTTTCAAAAGATAGATGTAATACATTTAATGTACCCAGTTATATCAGGTTGATGGAAATATCCTTTAATAGCCATTATGTTGTGTATGAAAATCTTCATGTTGTGATTTAGTATATAAGAAGCACCTTGCCATAAATTACCCTGCATATGGTCTCTGTATCTCTCTCACACACAGAGATAAAAATACACACAAACACACAGACAACATTCTAGTTTATAGCACTATCCTATACAGGTTTAATTAGCATGGATCCATTTCCTGATACATGCTAATTAATTAAACCAGGAAAAAATATATAAAAACCACTTTGGTAAGTAGAGCTATGACCAAAGTAGGGCTTCCCTTGATCACCTATATGACTAATGAAAGCAATAGGCCTTAACTCTACTTTTGTTTATAGGACACAATAATTTATGATTTTTTTCCTGTATACAGGGTTAATATAATGACCAAAGGAGCTCATTTCATTCATGATTATTATGAGTTATGCTTCTAGTGTCCCAAATAACTGAGCTTGCCACAAAAACAAAACAAAAAAAAAAAACCAAAAACCAAAACACTGCAGGTGCTCCTGTGTGTGGTAGGAATGCTTTTTGTGTTTATAACCACTCTCTAAATAACTCTGCCTCATACTTGTAGTTTAAAATATATAATAAAAGCTGAAGAGTTGGCTCAGTGGCTAAGAGCATTTGCTGTTCTTGCAGAGGACCCAGGTTCCACTTCCATCTCCCACATGGTGGCTCTCAATGGCCTGTAACTCTCGTCCCAGGGGATCCATTGTCCTCTCACCTCTTCAAGCACTGGACATGCACATCATGTACAAACACATACAAATACATCTAAACTCTTTAAAAGACATAAGATCATAAATATAGGTACTTTTTTTTTTTAATGAAACTTCTTTTAGAGTGATTCAAGGAATCTGTATTTATAGTGAGAGGACTCCCCATCCCCCAAGTCACCACTCCCAGGAACTAGGCCATAGGTCATCAATTCTGGGAACAAGACAATAAAATTCCCTACCCAAGGAATAGCCTGAAGGTAACCTCAGGAACGGAAAGGTATCTTATCTCAGAGTGGGGCATCTGTGCTGGGCAGCCCACCATCTGGTAGTAGAACATTCCTGAGGTTTATGCACAGCTCACTCAAGGTTAGTTATGTTAGCTAGCCAATCACTTTGTAACAAGCTTGCCCTTGCTGAATGCCACCCAATCGTGTAACTGCTAAGCTGGAATTTCCCAAACCCTGCGCTATAACCCTAAATAAAAACTCCTCTCTTGAGCTCAGGGCTCTACAGTCTGAGAACCAGAACCACTCTCAGTGATGGTGTGGGCCCCGGGCTTGAGTTTGTAATAAAGACCCTATTGCATTTGCATCGGAATCAGTTCCTTGATGGTCTTTGAGTCTTGGGCATAACAGAACAGAAAATTACTGAGAAAAGATACTTTTACTATAATCTTTCACACAAAGTACACATTAAAGAAATCTGTATTAAAAAGGTGTTAAGGAATGAGGTCATTTCCTGTTGCGGGGCTGGATAGAACTGTGCCAGGGACATCTGTCTGATGCTCCTTTATTCCAAATTAGTTTATTCTCAACCATCCTAGGAAGAGAGCGAGGACAGAGGCTGTATGGATAACAATGCTCTTTATTAGTGTTCACCACAAAGTCTGTCTCTAGACCAGCTTAATGCTCTTCCTAAACACAGAAATTCAAGAACTTCTGCTTGAACAAATCCCGCCCACCTCCCAGAGGAAAGCGCGCTCCCCCCACAGGCCCCGCCCACTTCCCCACAGCCCCACTGTGCGCACGCACGCCCCACGCCCCGCCCACCTCCCCGAGCAAAGCTCGCTCCCTCTACAGACCGCGCCCACCTTGCTGAACCCCGTTAGTGCACAACCTGGACCCAGCGTCCACCTGCCGAGTCCGACTCCCGCGCGTTCCCGCGGCCCCTACCTGAGGCGCCAGAGCCCGCGGGGCCAGCGCCCTCCTCAGGCCGCTGCGGAGGGCGAGCATGGCGGAGCCCGGAGCGCGCAGGGAGGCCGCCGACGGTTGCTGGGACTCGCGCTCTCCCGCTTCCTGGTGCGCGCGCCCGCTCCGATAGGGCCACGCTGGAGTGGGGCGGGGCTCGGCGGCGCGGCCCCGCCCCTCCCCGAAGGCGCCCGAGGCAGCCGGGGTTCTGCGCTAGGGACTTTGTGCTACAAGGTTCTGGCAGTTGGGGTGGTTGTGAGGAGCTCAACGCTGAGTTCGGTGCGATTCCACACCCTGGGCCATCACCTCATGCCCCGTGGAGCGCTAACACTCCAAACTGTAGGGCGTGCTTTAAAATCTCGGGGTGGGGGGACCTTGTGGCGACCCTCAGCGAGCCTTGACCTTTGTCAGAGAGTGCTCTGCGTCCCCGTGGCCTGGGAGCCTCCGAATAAAGATGCTTTAATTTTCCTGGAAGCCCAGAACGGTGGGCCCGCGGGCCTGAAGTCACAGAAAGAGACTGAAGTTAGATATACGTGATGTGAAAGCTGACCTCTGACGGCTTCTGAATTTTGCCCCTCAGAAAAACTTCATTTACCATTTATATTTTTCTAGTGCATGTTTATGTTCTTTGTTAAGCCTATTCTAGGTTCCATGATTTTTCTGACTGTATTCACTTGGGAGACTAAGATGTACAAACTGCTCATTCTTAAATACACTGCCTTCATCGGATCTACTGTTAACATTAAGTAGCTAGTTAATCACAATATCTTAAATAATTTCCCTGATGAAAATAGCCTCTTGGCCACCTTACTAATGTACACTAAGCTACATTATTTACAGGTCATCAGGGATTAAAAACCTTTTTAATGCAATAAACTGTGAGTTTAATAAACAATTAAACTCACAATAAATCTTGTGAGGCTTTAAACCCTTAAAGGCTTTATGCTTAGCAAATACATACATTACATTGAACAAGCCATCAAAATACAGATTTATTGAAAAACAGACATACGTAGGCATTAAATGGCAATCTAAGGTGTGTATAAGACAGAGTCTAAGAAATGATGAGCAAAAAGGAATTTTGACATTTGCATCAACTATAAATAGGATATGAAATCGATGACTTTTATTGACTAAATCATCACAAGTCCTGATAATGTGCTTTCTTCCCTCCTTTTGTAACCGAAGGAGGTGCAGTTGGCTACAATTTAGATACAGTTTTTACCATCCAAGTTACTGGAAGCTCTGAGTATAGTCAACAGAGCTTTGGACTATGCACATACCTAAAAGAAATCTGGGGCAAATGGCTAACTGACATGTCTATTGACCTATCAAAGCAGACACTGGCCTGGCTCTTTAGCACTTCTCATCCCAACCCTCTAAACCTCTCCAGCCCCTGACCTTCCCTTCCCTTCCCTTCCCGCAACTTCCCTTTTCTAGATAACCTCAGACATTTTGGCTAGATTCTCTCTTGGTTCTACTCTTGGTCCTCCGCTTCCCTCTTTGTTCATTTGCCCTCTCTCCTTTTCCCTCTTTCTTCTCTTCCTCTCTCTTCCTGTCTTTCCCTTCTCATGGCTCGGTCTATTTTGCTGTGTTCAGTCTGGACCCTTCCAGATGCCTCTGGCTCTTCTCTCCCTCATGTCTATAATAAAAGCCTTCTCCTCAACAATATCCACGAGTAGTCTTGTCCTCATTTTCATTCCATAGAGTACACACCTACTGAGTTGCTGACTCTGCTGACTTCTAAGTTATGTGAATATTAATCTTAACTAAATGCTATCAAAAATTTTATAAATTTATACTTTTCATGGCCTTGTGTAAGGCTTTTATGATCATGCTATTTTTCTTTTGTGAAAATACATTTTACACCTAAAACAACACATAGATATCAGTTGCAGATGGCTGACCTGATGCTGGCAAATAGAACAATGTCCTTGGAGGCATTCCTGCTTGTTTTTGTCCAAAGGTTAGACTTGTGCAACTGAGTGGAAGCGGGTGAGGTGTGAGGGGACTCTCGGCAGCCCAAGAACAGCCAGCACGGCTCTGGCAGGCCTTGACCTTCTCCCCCTTTCCCTCTACCTTACTAAAACCCGTTAGATTACATTCCTAAAGCTAATTCCCTAATTTGGCCACTTCTTCCTCTGGAGGCTAATCCCTAATTCCTAAAGTTCATTCCCTAATTTGGCCACTTCTTCCTCTTGAGGCTTATTACCATGGTCCAGCTAACAAAGTATTGAAGTCCAGCAATCAAAAGTCCCTTTTGGCTCACCTAACTAATATACCCTATTAAAATTAAACACCTCATCCTAACACAGGGTTCTACATTTTACCTTTATAAACTGGCATTTTTCCTATGGGCCATGTCTGTTTCCTCTCTACGCAGAGGTAGTCCTTTGTCCCCTGTAGAGGAAGTTTAAATCAGAACATGGATGCTCTGGCAAGAGATCACATCCAAAGAACTTCTAAATTTGTGGTCTAGCTGGAATACAAACATACCTTTAATCCAGGAAACAAGCAGAGGCAAGCAGATCTGAGCTCAAGGCCAGCCTGGTATATAGAGCAAGTTTCAGGTAAAGAAAAGCTTGGGTCCAGGCCCAGTGGTACACACCTTTAATACCAAACAGTGAAGGTAAAAATAGCATATAGAAGGAAGCACCCATGTTTGAAAGTGAGGCCAAATTGAGTGTCAGAAAAAAAAAAATTGACAGAATAGGATACACCCAGCTCTCAAGAGAAAAGAGAAGAAAGGGAAGCTAGTTAAGGGGCAATGCAGAGACTGCTGAGAAGAGGGGGAGGGGACATGGGACTGGACATGGGGAGAGAGGTAGAGAGTGGTAGAGAGTAGGTAGTTTTACCAGGACAGTAATAGAGACAAGATGCAAAGAGAGAACTCAGGTGATGACTGAATGAGCCAGAAAATGAGAAGGAGCCAGGAGATTATAGCAAATTGCTGGAGATAGTTTGAGGCCAAGTGGAGCAATTCAGAGGCTGAGAGAAAAGTCAGATTGGATAAGTCATCTGGGAGAGGAGTTTGAACTGGCCAGCCCAGAGCTCTAAAGAACAAGAAAGGTTGAGCTTATTCATCAGTGAATCTCAGCAGCTGAAAATATCTCGAGGCCTAGGTTAGATTGTAGATATGCTGGAAGCTTTCAGGGCTAGACCTATGCCAACTGACAGATGCAATCATCCTTTGAGACAATACTAAAAACAGATGACTAAAGGTTCCTTTTACAGCCCTCTGAGACAAATGCCACGCCCCACCTCCCTTGTTCCTGTCCCCCTTCCTCATCTTCTATTTCCTGTCTTTGTCTCTTATTCTCTGCCCTTTGTCTCTTTGGGCACAAATCTCCTTTGGGCTTAGAAGTCGGTCTTGGAGTGTCAGTTGCCAGTCCTGGTACCTTTAAGGTGGATCTTCTTCTAGCCTAGCTGGTAAGAGGACAGGTACCTGGAGAACTCTGTATGCTTACCTTCTGGATCCATATTCCTTAGAGAAGTTTCTCTTTTCAGAACTATATTCTAAGGCCACTAGATGGTGACATAGATTAACTTTTTTTTTTTTTCCTGTAGACATTGTCGCCACTCCCCCACCCCCAATTGGGGATTGAACACAGGGTTTCTAGAATGCAAATATACTTAACTATCAACTGAGTTACATTTCCAGCTCCTACTTTTGTTATTTTTTTATCTTGTTTTTTTTTTTTTTAGCTCTTGTAATATTTCAAGTGAAGTCAATTTTGTGTGTGTGTGTGTGTGTATGTGAGTGATGCTTAATTTCAGTAAAACTCGATTACTATCACAATGTTTATGAGTTGCTTTATCGTATTTAAAAGGAGCTTGTAATAGAAGTAAACGTCAACTTTTATTCAATGTCCCTTAGCAAGTTTATGAATTGCTTTATTATTGAGGAACTTGTAGTAAAGATAAAAATCAATTTTCATTAATAAGTGTCCTGCTTATATCACCAAAGTATCCTTTGTGTTTTGAACACTGAATAAAGTGCTGTATGGAAAAAAAAAAAAAAAAAAAGACAAAGGCTCTCTTTTCTTGAACTGCCAACAGTTCATATTTCTGTATCTGCTGATATCTTTTTTACTATCAGTGGTAGTAAAGAGAGTTATGAATATCTTAATTATCAATGATAGTACAAGTTAATCATTTCTATTAACATATTTTATTACTAAAACATAAGAAAAATGTACATTTACTATGTATTTTTATTTATGATTAAAATACCCCTTAAGAGCCCACCATTAATGACCTCTGAAAAACTCTATCCAACAGGGGATTGAAGCAGATGCTAAGACTCACAGCCGAACTTTGGGCAGAGTGCAGGGAGTTGTAGGAAAGAGTGGGGGAATAGAAAGACCCAGGCTGGACAAGAGCTCCAAAAGGACCACCACCAGAGACAAGAACTCTGGGCCCATGGGGGCCTGCGGACTGATGCACCAACAAAGAGCATGTCTAAAGAAGGCCTAGACCCCCTGCTCAGATGTAGCCAATAGGCAGCTCAGCCTCCATGTGGGTTCCCAAGTAAGGGTAGCAGGGGCTATCTCTGGCTGGACTCTGTTGCCTGCTCTTTAATCACTTCCCTCTGGTGGGAAGGCATTGCCAGGACAAAGATGAAGCAGATACAAGCTGTCCTAAAGAGACTTGATAGGCTGGGGTCAGGGTAGGGGAGGAAAGCTCCCCCTTTCTTCTGAGAAATGGGGAGGGGAATAGGTGGGGCAGGGAGGAGATGAGGGAGGGGGCTACAATTGGGATGTAAAGTGAATAAATTATAAAAAATAGTTAAATTAAGAAAACACCCTTTTGGCTTTCTTTGGGATTTGGATTAAAAGTGGCCTTTAGTGCTAGTGGCATTTTAAGGCACATCAGCCATAAAAAGAGTCATTTCCCCAGGCTCTGCATGTTTGCTCTTTTACTCTCTGATTCCTACATGTAGATTTTAAGAGGAATTTTCTGGACCTTTTGTAATTTTATATGATCACTATTAAATATCATAGCTTGTCTCCTTTTTTTAAGTCTATTTTAGATTTGCTTGGCTTTCACTAATTGCTTTTACAGTATCTTTAGAATGAATTCGTTATAGCTTATTTCAATGTTTTATTGAAGGG